TCCGAATACATGGTGCCCATGTGCATGGCGACAGCAACTGTCAAGCAACACAACATGGGTTTTTGCTTACGTTTTTATGGTGATTGAGAATTCTTGCTGCCTGCTTGGGACCGGCGGCAGGAATGCCATGCTTCGCGTGCTGGGTGTGCAAATTCACTAAAAGCTCGCTGCTTCAGCCACGCGTTTTGTCAGCACTGAAATTTTTTCCCTGATCATGAGTGTGAGGACATTGTTCGGACAAAAATCGCGAATCTGTCATTGCAGATCACGCGAATTCAAAACTCGACGGGGCTATCAACAAGATGAATCACATAATATGACTATGTCTCAACGCATCTGACGATCAGAAGCGCGGTGCAGGCGCCACATCGTTCGCACGGTCCCAATTGAGCAGCAGTTGCGAGTGAACCGAGTGCTGTCCCAGCGGCATGCGCACAGCCCCGGACGACGCATCGCTGGCGGCGGCGCTGCGGCGCTGCGGCCATGATCAATTCCGCCCAGGGCAGGTGGAGGCGGTGACAGCCACCCTTGAGGGCCGCGACAGCCTGCTTGTCCTGCCAACGGGTGGCGGCAAGTCACTCACATTTCAGGTGACGCCAGTGCATTTTGCATCTTGATTACGTCCCAATGTCAAACAGTAGTTTGCTTGTCACCTCACTGTTGCTTGCGACACGCCGCAGATTGCAGACACCGCGATCCGCGCCCCATCTGGTCTGCTGCTCTCATCGCATTACGTCCAATACGCAGCTGCCGCCAGTTGCGCGTGGGAACTGCTTCACAGTCGTGGTGTCTCCGCTGCTGGCACTGGCAGCCGACCAGGTGCAACATGCCGCATTCTCCTCTGCCCATCCCACGGGTACAGGCACCCTGTGGCACATTGGGCGTCGTAAATCCCCTCGAGCGCGCCCGACCAAACTGGCAGGCTCCAGCATGCCGTCCCAACTTGCCCTTACGCCAGCAGGCTGGCAGGCATGGAGCGTCAGCAGCCTGCAGAAACAGCCGCCTCAACACCGATGGTGACGCACGCATGCTCCCTGACACTCGAGTCCTGCGTCATGCGGCTGACGCTGTCGCCCCAACAATGTGCAGGTCGAGCACTGCCTGGAGGCGGGGATCGAAGCCATGTCCTTCAACTCCTCATGCTCCGACCAGCAGCGCAAGAACGTCATGTCTGAGCTACACAGCAGCGAGCCAGAGCTGCGGCTCCTCTACACAACGCCCGAGAGCCTGCTCAAGCCGGCGCTGCGGGAGGCGCTGGTGGTAGGCGCCGCCCACGCATGGGGCGCATGCATGCGATGCGTGCTGCATGCCGCTTGGGTGCATTTGACGCAGCTCGCCATGCACGGCGTGCGGGGCTGTGCATGGGACAGGTACAACAGCTGGCAGTGTCTAGAAAAAATACGATTGAATCGCCCCTGTGTTGTGGCCGGGGGATCTCTATATGTTTATGGAGGCTTGGAAGGTGGCTTGCGTGGTGCACGGGCTGTGCATGCACGGCCATGGCACAACGGTAGGCCGCACATGCTGCTGAGACCTGCCAACGTGTCAGTTGACCTGCCCAGTCGGCTGCCGACAACGCCACTTGGCTGCCATTAGCGATGATTGGCTGCGGATAGCGAATCCCATGCTCATCCCTGACCAAACCCCAGGAGGCTTGCGCCAGCGGCACCCTCTGCGCCTTCGCCATCGATGTGAGTGGGGCCGGCGTTGGCGCCCATGAACTTGGACCACATCATGCCCAGCTTAGCCTCAGGGGAGCTGTATTGCTTGGTTATGAGGCCGTGGCCACGTCATCGATCAATGCTGCCTTCACATCTCGTCTGCCGGCTGCCCTTCTCCCAATGACCCCCACGCCCAAACAGGAGGCTCACTGCATCAGCGAGTGGGTGAGCTGCCTGCTATCTACGCCCTGGCCACTCGTGTACGCCCACGACCGCCTCGGGCACGTGCGCTGCGTTGCTGACGTGGTCAACTGCGACCTGTCCTCCGTCTGTGACCCTGATCCCTGCTGCTTGCCTGCCTGCCCTTCCAACATCGGCGTGCCATCGGTGCCGCCCGCCCTCACCCTGACCCCTGTGCAGGGCCACGACTTCAGGTGCGGTGCCTAAAAAGCGATGATAAGCGCCCCTCCCTCTAGTTCAATGCGCAACTTGCTGGCCCGGTCTCTGGTCGCTGGCACTCGTGGCGCCTTGTTCGCCAGACAGCGGACGCTGCTCGAGCACGGCGCCGGGGTGCGCTCTCCCTACACCCCGTGCGCCTGCAGCCCGTGATGGATGCAGCCTACTGATCCTTCGCCCTTGACCCCTGGACTGCGACCATCAGGCCCGCATACCTGCAGCTCGCCTCGCTCAAGGCCGACTTCCCAGGCATCCCAATCGCCGCCATAACGGTGCGCCCGCGCCGCTCGCCCGTAGCCCAACGGCCGCACATCCTCCGCCCCGCGCACCTGCGCCCGCCGGCAGGCGCATGGCACCGCGGGCTGCCGCAGGCGCTGCTCCTGCACCCTGTGTGGCCCGCTACCCCATCTTTGACACTCTCACGCGTCCCCCTCTACCCACCAGGCCAGCGCCACGCCGCGCGTCCAAGAGTCCATCGTCCGTTGCCTCGGGCTGTCGAAGCCCCAGATCATCGCAGCCTCGTTCAACCGCCCGAACATCGAGCTGACCGTGCGCCATAAGGCGCTGCTTGGGGCGCAGGGCGCGGATGACGACGTCATGGAGGTGGGATCTCATGTAGGATGATCATGTTACTATTCAACCTCACCGGGGATGGACACCCATGCCAACGTGTCTGCCTGCATCTGCTGTCAGGCACAGCCTCAGGGCCTGCGCTGAGCAGCCTAACCCGTAGTGCAGCCTTCTCTTGCATCGTTGTGGTGCAACTCCCGTGATCTGCCTGATCATGCATGTGACTGTGGTCAAACACGCTTGCGACGTCTTCCCGCAGGACCTGCTGCGGTTCATTGGCAACCGGCCCGGGCAGTGCGGCATAATCTACGCTCGCCTCAGGTGCGGGAAGGGGGCACATGCGGGAGGAGGCTGCGCACCCTTGCTCTGCCGGGTGGACCTGCCAGTTGCTTCGAGCCGCTGCAAAAACTCTCACGCTCAGGATTATACTGCCTGCCAACTTTCGTCCGTCGACATGTGGCGTCCGCATGTGGCGTCATCAAAGCCGTCTGTGACCCCAGGAACGCCCTCATCCCGCGCATTGCTTAAACTACGCGGCAACGCTGGCGGCATGGCTTCTTGCGCATATCTATCTGATGCAGGTCCACCTGCGACTGGCTTGCGTCGGTCCTGTCTGGCTGTGACCTAGATGTGGCCAAGTATCATGCCGGAATGGTGAGCGCGCCCATGCCCCGCATGTCCGCACGGCCAGCCAACCCCTCCCTCCCTTCCCGCCGCGCTCGCCTCTCTGCCGCCGCTCCGTCACGCTGCGCGGCGTGACGGCGCGTGACGCTTGCGCCGTGCGCCGCCGGCCACGCTCGCGCTGTGGCCCCCACCCAAAGGACCCAGACCAGCGGCGCAAGGTGCTGCGGGACTGGACCGACGGTTCGGTGGACATCGTGGTGGCCACGATTGGTGGGCGGGATTGATATGACATCCGATTGGCGTTTGGGGGGCGCTGGGCACCCGCACTGCCGCTTCTGAGGGCGTGCCAGCGGCTGATGGCCGAGCTTGCAGAAAGTGGTGCGAAGTGCTTCCATCAACCACGCCTTGCCCACCATGTCACTTCACTCACGCTACCAAGCTGTTGCGCCTCCCCCCTTGTGACCTCCAAAATTTCAACCAGCGTTTGGCATGGGCATCGACCGGGCGGATGTGCGCTGGGTCGTCCACTGGAACCTTCCCGGCTCAGTGGAAGGGTTCTACCAGGTCAGGGGCAGGCAGCCACAACGTCACTTTGGTGTTTGATGAGTTGACCAGTGCGAGATCATATGCCGATCAACATGCAGACTCATCCCTCTGCTTGCAAATGCACATCCCTGGGTAGGAGACGTGCCTTTCGCTGCCTTCCACACACTGTCATCCCCTTGCTGCATGCAGGAGGCTGGGCGTGCAGGGCGCGACGGCCAGCCAAGCTTGAGCTTGGTGCGTGATCGCTTGCTTTCCAGTGCCACAGTCGGCGTGTTGATGTTGCGTGTGCTTACACGTTGCAGGCATGCGCACACGCACACACACACACACACACACACACACACACACACACACACACACGCGCACACACACGCGCACGCGCGCGCGCGCGCGCACGCACACTGATTTGCACACCTTTGCCCAAAAGGTTCATCATCTTGCGGCACCTTCCAAAACCCTCCAGGTGTATGAGTCACAAGAGGACGCAGAAGCTGTGGCAAAGCTGGAGCGCGGAAACCGCCAGGTCGGCAGAACTGCGCTTTTCATTCACGCAAACCATGGTTCACTGGTCATTCCTACCCCAAAATGCTGCACAGGCATCAAGCGTGAAATGCCCAGAGGCGTCAGGCGCCCCGTGATTTTGCCGTTGCTCAACGCCCCTGTACATTGGGCATGTGTCATGCGATGCTGCTCAAGCGCCCTGCGCAGGCAACAACCCTCCATCCCGGCCCGGATACCAACACCTCTGCCTGTCCAGGGCGCTATGGCCAGCGTGGTGGACCTCATGGCCGCCCCCGGCTGCCGCCGCCGCCGCCTGCTGGCGCACTTTGCGGAGGCGCGCGGCGCCTGCGACGCGGCCTCGGAGCTGCTGTGCGACTTCTGCGCGGACCCGCAGGTGAGCGGGCGGGCAGGCAAGAGATGGGGCGCGCAGCGCAAGGAATTGATGCTAACAAGGTCGCGTGCTCGTCCGCACCTGTGTCATTGTTCTGCCACATGGCACAACACAATGCTTGCTGCCAATGGAAACCGGTTTGTCACCAATTTCTGGCCCTAGGGAGTGCGGCGGCGCCTGGACGAGCGGGAGCGCCGCACGCACGCACGTGCGGCACGAGAGCGAGCGCGAGAGGCGCGGCGCGTGGCCGGCGGCGAGGAAAGCGGGAGCGACGGGGTTGAGGGCGAGGAGGGTGAGGGCAGTGGCGGGGGCGATGGCTGGGGCTCAGCGGCGCGGCTGTGCACAGCCAGTGTGCCGCCGGGAGCAGCGGTGAGGCAGCAGCAGCAGCAGAAGCAGCAGCAGCAGCAGGAAGCTGGTGTTGTGCTGGGCGACGCTGAGGAGGAAGGATGCTGCGCAAGGGAGCAGCATCAGCAGCAACGCCGGCCGCAGCAGCAGCCAGACCTCGCACCCAGGCCTGCCCTCGCGCCCCTCGGCCGCGGCCGCTACGGCAACTCAGGCGCACGGCCGGGCACGGCCTTCAAGGCACCGACGATGGTCCAGCCGCGCGCCACGGCAGCAGCCAGTCATGCGATTCTGCCGGCAGCCGCGGCGCCTGTATCCCCTGGCCCGGCAGTGGCCGTTGCAGTGGGCCCAAACAAGATTGGCTGGGAGGACCCTCAGGTGGGGCTTATCGAGTCCAACACAACGCGATCCGGGCTTGTGCATGTGAGCACAGCGTCTGGGCGGGCGCCGGTGGTGGTGCCGCGCCTGTTGAAGCGCTTCAAAGGCAGCCAGGGCTGCGGGGTACGTCCTGGGAGCGCCGGCGGCTGCGGGGCTGCAGCGGGCGCTGAGGGCGCCACACGCACAGGGCCCGCGGCAGCGGCCAGGATTGGCCAGGCGGCGGTGGCAACGGCTGTTGAGGCAGCGGTAGCGGCACATTCCAATCAGCAGCAGCAGCAGCAGCAGCAGGGTGAAGAAGGGCACAATCACAACCAACAGCTTGAGAACAACCAGCAGCAGCAGCAGCAGGAGCAGCAGCAGCAGCAGCAGCAGCTTCCAGCCATGCAACAATTGCACACGCGAGTCCTGCACACGTGCATGAGCACGCACGCTGCCGCCGCGCGACGCCCGTTCAAGCCGCCCTTGCGGCGGTGATGCCAAAGTGAAACGCACGCAGCAACTTGGCCCCCAGCAGGATGAGCACGGTGTATTTCTGCCAATTTTTTTGCACGATGTGTTTCTGGCTTCTTGTCTTACAAAAACTTCTGGATGTTTGAGTGTCGCAGCCACCATGCAGCTGATGCTTACGGCTGCAAGGTGCATCACTGACAGCTGCCTGACTGATGGCACGACGTCTGTTGCCAAACAAGCCGTGTTCATGACTGTGCTTTCCTGCGGACTGCTTGTCAGCCGTCTCCTCACCCCCGCCGCTCTCAGCCATGAACCTGCTTTTGATTCGCGTTTTATGTCGGGGTAACCCCTCAGACAGTTTGCTTGCCGCGCCTCGCCTTATCCAGGACCCCACACCCTCCGCACGTTCAGTCCGCCTGTCAACCAGCATCAAAGTGTGAACTGCAACCCGGTGTCGCGGCTGCGGAAACGATTGCGCCTGCGCATGAAGGCCGTTATGGCAGCCCATGATAGAGGCCGCGTGCCTGCTAGCAATGGTTGCAATTGCATGGGTCGCGAGCATCCACCGCGTGCTTGGAAGGGCCTGCGTGCGCTTCGAGCAGGCGCAGAAGGGGTTGGCTGCGACGGTGATATGCAGCGCAGTGCACACGGTAAAGGCTGATGTGATGATCCCACTACTGAGGCCCACATGCAATGCGCCTAAGTGCATGAGTGGCCTCCAGAGCTGCAGTCAACGCCAGCAGTGCTCATCCACCACGCAGCCGCGAAGCCGAGGAGGCGGCGGCCGCCCACGGAGCCTGATCACTAGCATTTCGTAAAGATTCGCGCCCTATCAGAGCTTCAAAACGGTGGTGGTATCTTTGTATTCACCCCGCTCGTCCAGCAACCAGGCAGCTGCAAAACCGTCGCCTGATCTTTGACACAGGCGCTGTGCTTGCCAAGCCCCTATTACCACGATCATTCGAAGGCCGCAGATTATCCTACACGGCATGCTCCAGGCCTAAACCGTTCACGCCCCAACCAAATTGCATAGAACATCCGTGCAGAGGGGCCCGGAGGGCCTTGGGGCGCCATGGAGCCCGAACACGAGCAGCATGGGCTGCTAAAATCAGCAACCTTCAGGCAGGTCACGCAGCGGCACACACCTCAGCTGCCCTCCACCGAGGACATTCTGACCAAGGTGTTTGGCACGAAGAACGCACCAACACAGCGCGTATCAGAATCGCTTGACTATGAGCCGGTACAGAACAAGATATTCTACAAGCGGATGAAGGCGGCCAAGGAGAAAAAGCACCTCTTCGGGTACGAGGCGGTGCATGACAGCGCCTCGCGCCGCTGCTGCTGCAGCTGCTGCTGTCCCTGCCCGGGCTGCCTGCTGGGGCTGCCCCATGCATATCGCGCCGCACGCTCTCGCAGCAGCAGCATGAATGCCTCATCGTCAGCCCATGCGGCGCGTGGACGCCCGCCGCCGCCCCAACACCTGCACCCATCCAAACACCCCCCACACCCGCCGCACCGCCGCCGCCGCCACTTCCTCCTGCCTTGCCCCGCCCCGCCCAGTTACACCGGCCACACCTTTGCCAAGTTCCTAATCACGATCACGTCCGGCCTGCTGACCGGCGTCTTCGCGGTCGCGCTGTCGCAGCTGGTGCACCACTCGTTCGAATGGAAGAACGAGTACGTGCAATCAATCCTCGACGAGCCCGGGGAGGGGCGCATATGGATCGCGTTCCTGTGGCACTGCGCATACAGCTGCCTCCTGGTGTCCTTCGCAGTCGCGCTGGTGAGCGGGCGGCACACCGCCTGTCGCGCGGGGCGCGCGGCTGCTGCCGCGCGTAACGCTGCGGCCCCACCTGGGCGGGCCAGCCGCGCCTCGCGCCTCGACACACGCGCTATGCCACACCAGCATCACAACCATTGGGCATAAAATCGCCAGGACACGATTAGATACTACCGCCCCAGAACCCACACCTGTTGTATCCTCAACATTGCCTGCTTTTACATCGCTGCGCCGCCGCGCAGGTCCAGTACTGGGCGCCCCAGAGCGCCGGCGCCGGCGTGACGCTCGTGATGGCGTACCTTAACGGCAACCACGTCCCCAACCTGCTGCGCCTGCGCACCCTGGTGGCGAAGTTCGTGGGCACTGTGTTCTCAGTGGCTGCCGGGCTGCCGATGGGGCCTGAGGGGCCCATGGTCCACATGGGGGCGTGCGTGGCGAGCGTCATCACCTACGCGCAGTGCAGTGAGTGGCAGACGGAGGGTCACGCACAGGGGAGGGGCCGGGGAAGAAGGGGTGCGGGGAAGGAGGCAGCTGGCTGGCCTGGCGAGGGTGCGGCCCGGCCTGCGAGCTGTGCGCTTGAAAAGGGGTGGGGCCGGCGGGGCTCGGGTGTGTGCGGACACCCACAGCTGTCTGGGCGTGGCCTGTTTTGCAGCGGGTGGTTTGGTGCCGCGCAGCGGCGTGCGTGGCGCAATGGCCTTGTGAGAAGCGCAATGGCCGTGTGCGAAGCTGGAGAGCGGCAGGCAGCTCCTGCACAGAGGCACAATGATTGATTTTCAAGTGAGAGCCCTCGTGAATGCTCGAGCGAGCTGTCATCGACCCGCACAAGGGGACCGCATCTCACGCGCAACGCCGGATGACGCGCATGACATCGCGTCCGCCGTCCGCCCCTCGACCCTACCACAGCTTGCCTGCGCACGGGCCGCTGGCTGAGCTGCTTCGGGCGGCGGCGGCTGAAGAGTCACGAGCAGCAGATGCTGGAGAAGATGAAGGTCTTGGACGACATCGTCAGCGACTCTGGTGAGGGCCAGGGGTGATCTTAGATTAGGGTGATCTGGGTTGATCTGGGCAGGGTGATCTGGAGGGACGGCCTGGGGTGATCTCGGGGCAACCCGGTGGTGGCGTGGGTGGGAGTGATGGTTGGGATGGTACTGTTTTGGGCCGTGGGCAGGTGCTGCGCTGTGCAGTGGGGCCGCAGTGGTGTGTACTTTGTACTCAGGATTTAGGGTGACGGGGTCCTGCCCCGGTCGGGCGGAGCGGGCAGCCTGGCCCGGTGTATGGAGGATGGCGGGGCCAGCACGGCTCCGGTCCTGAGGCTGCCGCGGCTGCCGTCCCTTCATGAGCAGCCGCCGACACATTTGCAGTGTCACTGGGGCTCGTGCACAGATGCCTCTCCCCCATTC